TGATCCCGTTTTAATGGCCTTCTGAAGTGTTCTCATTGTAATGTTTAATCTAGCTGTCATTTTATAGTTTCATCTTGTTATTCGAAAAATAAGTCGCCAATTGTACACTGCCTAATAAAAAAGAGATGTAGAATTGTATGTATTTAATGATATATTGAATGAAAAGAGATTATATATGTCAAAACATAATATTATTATATATGTCAAAAGATGCAACAAATATGAAGTTTTCTTATCGAAAATAGTTTGTTTGCATCAATAAAGTAATCCTGAGCCATTTTGAAGTTTAGCACTTGTTACAAGAATGACAAAAAAGCGAGAAAAGACACGGTTAAGATTTTGGACCCGTTCGATGACGTCATTTTCGCAAAAATTAATGAGGTCATATATTTTGACAGGTGTATCTTACAGCATAGGTTTCTTATGATTGTTTGTTCATTTTACAATTGTCTTTTGAACAATTCCATTGGTTCTAAGATTAGATGGAAGATAATTTTCTAATGACGGGAACAATGAAATGATTGATCACGTGACCACCAGCCCCGTGACCGTGAGTTGATATGAGACGAAGAGTTGCAAAGCGTAGCAGGAATATAATAAAACCAAAAGCCAATCCAAACGATGACTTGAAGATTCCTACCATTGAGAGGGTAATAAAGAGAAACGTGTGCTCGATTGTATTTCATTGCCTCCAAAGCAATGTGTGTCAATCATTAGAAAGCTATTTTGAGATAACGGCAGATAGTAAAAAACACAAGAAATAATAAATTAACTGTGAAGTGCCCAAAAAGAAAACACAATTTTTTGAGATTAATCTTTTTCTGTGACTGTTTCAAATATATATAATAACATTCCCATTTCTGCAAGAAAGTTAGACTCTAGGGTTTTATTCAGAGAACAGACAAAATTTTTTATCTAATTCCTATTCTCAATCTGCAGAGGTAAATGATTTCATCTAATTTCTTTCTAATTTTTAATCTGCCTTAGTTTTATCAACCTTAATTTGTATTTTTATATCACACAAAATCCAAAAAAAACAGTATGCTTATCATACTGATAGGTTGTTCCTGTTAATATATTCGCTATTTATTTTTGCTTGATCTGGAAGCCCTAAAAATGGTGAGGCGCCGTCCTATATGAGTGACATATCACTAGAATAAGTGAAGCAACGTCTCGTGTACAGCGAAATTCTAATATTAACTTACCTTCAGGTGCCTAATTGCCGGGGGATCGGTATTAACAGGGGGGTCGGATTTTATGCTCAAAATTAATTGGCAGGGGTTCCAATTACCGGGGGCGGGGGGTCTAAATTATGAAGTTACGTATACTGAATACTCAAAATTCACTTAAAATCAGTTTTTTATAAAAACCATATTAACAGAACAAATGATTATGCATAGAGTGTAGAAGTTGCAAAAGTTGATAAAACAAACGGTTTTTGCTGACAGGAATTATTGTGGGCTCGGGTAATTGTGGGCATTTAGATCAGATCGGGGGCCGGACATGTGGCTATTATACGTACAAAATAATCATTATAACCGAAAATTGTGAGTTTTTCTTTATTGTCAGTGGGAGTTTTAGGCATCTAAGAGTAAGAACCTTAAAGATAAGACATCAACAGTTCAAAGATGTTTCTCATTCAGAGGGGCGAGTCTCTGGAACGGGTTGAACAATGGCAACCAACCCTAAAAAAATCTAAGGAAAGGGCAGATAAAATCTCACATTGCATGAGAGTTTTTTTATACTATTGCTTCTTTTAATCCTATTTCTTTTAGTAGTATTATTTTTTGATTTTTTTCTTTAGCTTGGTTTATATGTTATTGATGGGCCCCTGTAAATCAGTTTTTCTCTAACTGTAAGGCTACTATGCTAAAAAGAGAATATTAACTGTAATTAATTATATGTATGAAAACGAATACTCCATCGATGAAGTAACATGGTTTGGAAAATGTATCGTATAGGCATTCATCAACTTGGAAATTAAAATGCTGTATAGAAATGTTTTTGGTTCAAATCTACGAAAACTGTTGGATTTTAATGTTTGATTAATTTGATAAATGACAAACTTATTGTAATTTTATTCTGAAACAATCAAGTACCTTAAAGAAGTCAGTTGCAGTGTTTTCACATATTATATTTTGAGTCCCCCCCCCAAAGTCAGGAATATTCCCGTACCATGAAAGCAAGGAAAACTGACTGCAAGCTTTACAAAGTTATGAAAAAGTAGGTTCTTTCAAGGAACAGCTGTCACACGAAACTGGTAAATTTGGGAATGTTGAGCCTTCTTAATGAGACTTGGTGCCTGGATACGAAGATTTTCAACTTCCTTGTAATTCTAAAATGATCAGACAGGAACCTGCAAGCATTGTGCACAAACATTATATGCATGCACCAATCTTTACATTAGAGCAGTCTAATAATCTTTAATTAAAGGAATCGAATTGTACGTAACTCTGGCTTTCATTTCATCGCAGCACGTCTGTAATTGCACATACCGTATTTCCTCGAAAATTGGCCGACCTTCGAAAGAACGCCAATTCGAAAATAAGCCGAAATATATTAGAAAATACTGGAAAAATAGGCCGACCACGAAAATAAACCGAGACACACTCCTTTAACCCAGTCAAACAAACGCTCGAATCAAATAATTCGAATCTGCTGGCCAATTGTTTGAATATTCGAAAAAAGCCGATTTAAAAGTAAGCCGAAAAATTTTATTTTCTAAAAAAATTAAGCCGCGGCGTATTTTCGAGGAAATACGGTATGTTATTTGTCACGTTGGCTAAAGTCGGTTATTCTCAACACCATTTTCCTTTTAAGCTACAAAAGTAGACCAATTCGGAAAAGGCCCCACTCCACGAAGCTGAAAGTTGGGGGCAAGGCTAGCAAAAAAATTAGGGGAACAAGGTTTCTTTCCCCTTTACTGCAGCTTTAAAACTACTTGCTTTGCAAGAACCAGTGGGCCATGCCCCCCCCCCCCCGATGGCGGAAAGGTAGATCACTTAAAGCCTACTAGCATTTTTATTGATCGTCTGCGATGTATTTTCCCATATATTGGGGAAAGTCATAGTAATCGAAAAAGTTAAACCACCCCGTCGCTTACGATCCACGAATGCCGACGATCGTAAGCTTTGTGTTGATATGTCATCATTGAATCGGGAGCAGAATGCAGATTATCGCAAAGTGTCCGACCCATTTATAATCAGGACAATCGTGGCGATCAGAAAAGTTAAACTGAGTTCAGTTGATGCTAACGATCTACGTCTGCTGACGATCGTAAGCTTTGTGAGGCGTGAGGATGCGATATCATTGAATCGGGAGCAATTATACAAATTATCACGAACTGTCCGATCCCCCTACGTTCACTCTACGATTTTGTGAAAATCAGACTTAAACCGCTATCATTTTTAATGGAAGCATTTCTATAGAATGCTTTTTGCAAGCTTCTATTAGCAGCTGGCAGTATTTTTAATCTGCCGAGGAAAAAAATTAAAGTTGAATGTTCATCTGTTATTTGATAAGGTTGATAAGGGGCTCCATAATTAATGCCTTACAAACGTCTTTTTGTGGTTCAAGACATCTGCTTACCTATTCTTGAATAGATTTTTAGCACAAATGCCCGTTCTGTCTGACTTTGTCAATATTTAGACTTCTGCAACCATTCTGCAAAGCAGACAATCGATCCTAACAAACAATCTGCCATACATATCCCAAGATATTCAACAAGACTGTCGATGGTCGTCGTTTAAATTTCCCTATTAAGTCTTCAATGACTCCGCCCTCTTCAGAGTAACTCTGCTTCAAATATGGCCGTGAAAAGAGGCCTAGTTAGCCAGTTGGATAACAGACGTCAACCAGAATACAAAGAAGCTAGAAACCTTCAATTAATTCGGGATTTCAAAGTGGGACATTGAACGACTGCCTTGCTAAAGGTCATTGAAATTAAAAAACAGTGAAATTACTTCAAATAAAAATATTTCTTTTAGGTTCATAATGTCAGGTTTCTAAGCTCTTGGCGGAAAAAATGCACCTTTCGCTTCTATCATCTGGGCGAGTTTAAATCCTCTAGTTCATGGAAGTACATTTGATTTCATTGAAATCAATAAGAAAAAGGTCAAGTATAAATGATGTTTCGAGCCGAAGAATAACACAACACATACCACACAACGATTTCGAAGAGAGAACATCTACTGTAATTGTAAAGCTCGTTGAGTAGTTACGGTTATAGAGTATTAGGACATATAAGGGCTTATAGTATTAGGGCAGAAGTTGTTAAGCAGTTGAATTTATAGATTATTAGAGCAAGGGCCGTCTATTTTCGACTGGAATTTTGATAATATCTATGTTTTTCGGGTAGTTTTAGCCATTTTGCCAGGTATTGTTCAAAACTTTTTGGTCAGGCTTCGATTGTTAAAAGTGCTGAAAAATTCTTAAATTACTTTAAACCCTCGCTTCGGCCTGTTTACAAGCATTACATCGTTGCTCACTGCTGCTTCTCCTTACTACATTTTCCCTTCTAAGCCCCCATCATAATTCCTGGGAAGGTAAGCTAACGAGCGTCGGGGCCAAACTTGCGACCCTGAATTTACGCCTTATGAACATGGGTAATCAGCTGTCGATTCAAAATATGTTGAACATGGAGATTGGGGTCACCACTGATATCTAAAAGATGAAAATGAACTAACCTTTAAAGTATGAGAATTCCAATGCTCGATTGATTCAGAATTTTCTTGAACTGGGCTAACCGGCCCATTTAGTGTTTATTACATTTCTAGTTAAATTTCAGTTCACAAAAAAATGAACTGAAATGTATGACTACGAAATTAATTAAGTTTCACTTGGCACTGTCGCATTGGATGTGATGTGCACTAACAAGGCCATCGAGAAGGAAAATACTTTGATATGAACTTTGAGAATTTCCTTACAATTTTTTTCTCAACTCAAAAATTGTATAAAGATTGCGATCTTCCACAAAGCGATCTTCAACAATCGTTTCTCTTTTTTCATTTTTTTAGGTAGTCTACCGTTTGCCTACTTTAGGAGTATTATGTTATTTTGCTAGATCCAAAGTGAGGTTGCCTGCGTATTAATGTTCATGGTTTTTCGATTATATTGAGCACTTTTGTCGGCCGAGAAAATATATTTTTTCAACAAACCTCTGCAGCTTCGTAGATATCTGCAGGAAAATATTTGTTGTATTAATCACTTCTTGAACATTTTTCAGTCTTGCTCGATTTGTAGGCAGAGTCATTGTCCAGAAAACTTTTAACATAATTCGATGTTTTACAAAGAAAACCAAAATATTTTGTTCAAGTGATCCGTAGAACATGATAATGATGATTGCTTAACTCTGCTGATATTCATTCAGCAAATCAGTCTCATTAACTATCCAAAACATTGCAATACGAGCGACTTCTTTTCCTTTGCCTCATAAACAGTATTACATTGAAAGAAAAAATTAAATTTGGAAATTTTGTTTATGATATTATTCAATTTAAATACAATATTTCCATGCAATACTACTCTCCAGATTTACATAATCAAATAGATACAATATATACATAATATCTTATAAGTATTAAAAAGTGACTAACTTCCTTAAAAGTCAGCTGCTTTTTAGATGTCATTTGATGTGCTACAGAAAGTTTCGTTCTTTGATTGGAACGATACGATGCTTTTCATAAATATACAGAAAGTTTTCAAAAATTTTTTAGCCAATTTGCTTTAAAAATTTAGGCCAGGTTTTGATTTATATCCACTTCAACTTAGATACTGTAAAGAATACAAGAGGAAGGTAGCAAATTCTACTTAAAAATTTATTTAGACTCAATGTTAAATTAAGACATTTGCCACTTTTAGGCCCTGGCAAAGAGTAAAAATAGTTCGTGAACTCTTCCGAGATAGTCTATTGAAACCAGCTATTGTAAAATTTTGAAATTTTTCTGGGTTTTATTAAATCATATAGATTGTCTTCCCTCATTTATATATGTGACATTTATATCATTACCTTCTGTGCAAAGCTGTCTTTGCAATTTTGGTTCGCGTTTCCTTATCATGAAAATTTTTTCGTAAGCTGCATTGAAAAGGAATTACAGTATAAGTTGCAATCTCAAGTGTTAATGGGCGGTCTGGCATTAAGAAGAGCTTGAATTGAAAAATTTTGCATTTCTCATAAAAGTCCCTCAAATACATTTCTCATGATTTTTGGTGGTCAAGGCTGAATCCATTTCATTCTTTGTGTTAATTCGATATTCATCAAAATTTCTTGCATATTGAGAGAGTGTGTCAAGCTTCGCGAGATATCTTTTATATATCAAACTTTACCAGTTTGTTCAGTATCATTTCTACGATTTTTGCTACTAGCTATTCAACCCCTTGGTTCTTGGCTGGATTACCCAATGCCCCAATGAATTTAACATGGCCGACCTGTCACAATCGCTACTGATACACACAGTTAATGTTTTTGTTCCAAGAAGGGTGCCTGCACGAAGGTCCAACCTTGTTTAAATACGTTTGGAAATTATATTGGTCACGTGAAGTTGAAATTACTTGTTGATCCGTCACCTTGTTTGGCTGGTGGCATTCTGGTTTAAGCAAAGGTCTCATGCCGTCTGGAAATGCAAGGTTGAAGAGAGCTTCCGGACTGCAAACAAACCTATAAACGTATCTTTCTCCTGCTACTTTCTGCATTATCCCTTTCTCGTAATAATATCTTAATGATCGACTTAGTTTGTCATAGTTCATAGCCGGTCGATTTTTCTGAATTCCCCATCTTCTGGCTACCTCTTCGGGGTCAATCAATTTGAACTCGAGACCCCTTCCAGTCCATGCAATGTATTGCTGGCAATCTGGCTCTGACAATAGGGCCACTAGAAACTGCCACAATTGTAAAGACCCTCTTCTATGATAGGGTTGATGTTCAGCAAGGCCTTTGTAAGCATGATATCTTGTTGTCCCTGCGAAAGAAGAAACGTTCTGTTTCAAGAATAGATCTGTCCATATAATGACGTTTATTCGTGAATTGAATTGATTTCTCATCAATTTTTGTCAAAGGAAGAAAGAAATTGAAAATGTCAGTTTATCCTTTTCCGAACCCATTCTAAAATAAGCTCTTTCAAAAAGTTGTTATTAACTACACGAAGATAAATCATTGACTTTTTCTTTGCTTTTAATATCGTAGGAAGAAAGTACGGCTCATCTTATTTTATAAAGTAAAATGGTTGTAGCGAATATAGAACCATTTACTCATATGGTGTTAGATTGACAGGTTTCATGTTTGTGGGGCTCACTCAGGCACCGCGGAGCGTTGCGAAAAGTGGGGGTCTAAAAAAGTGGGGGGGGGGGGCTAAAACCATATTAAAAGAGGTGTTATTGATATCTTATTACTTGATATGTGGCATATTTTGCAAAAAGTGGCTAAAGCCCCCCAGCCCCCCCCCGCTTTGCGGTGCCTGTCACTCAACTCTTTCGAAAACAAACAATATTCAATAATGATACTTCAACTGATCTGCGCAACAGCAGTTTCTCAAACTAAACGAAAATATATAATGCGTTTTTAATCTAATAGTGGACTTTGTATCCTTAGGTGGTTGTGATTCAATAATCATGGACTCGAAACAAAAAGAAATTTTTCGTTTAAATCAAGGAAGATATAAGGTCTTTCAATGTCACCTTAGCATGCTAACAAGTGATTGATATGCAAAAAAGGACTGGGCAAATATGTGTACAAGTACCTAAATGATGCCAAGCTAACCATTTATTATCTCTATGGCTTATTTGTGAATTCAATTTTTTTGATAGCTCCTTTAAGCACTTCGTTATGCGAACCTTCCATTAATGAACTATTCTGCGAACAACCGGTTTTTGGTCCCAGGCATCATCTAGATTGGATTGTAGTGGTCAAGTTATAAAGGCACAAAAGGTTGCCATCGACCCTTAACAGGATTCTTGGGGGTATAACAATTGTCACTGGTTATATGAAAGTTTGATAAACTATAATGATTGTCTGCATGACCATATATATTTACAGGCTTATCCATTCATCAGATTATAAACGTTTTGTAAAGCCCTTGGTCTACTGTACTTTTAGATCAGAGACAAACAGAATGTTAGAATTATTTCTATCCTTGTACTTTAAGCAAGAGTTTTGTATCAAACTCTTCATGGAGTCATTAAAAACCTTGAACGAATCACCTGTAATTTTTTTCGAAAAACTATAGATTGGCTCGAATACTACCTGAAGCGAACACTATGTAAATATCAGGGGTTTGATTCAGACTCAACATTTTGAACAAAATTTTTCAGACCTTCGTTGTTTCAGGCTTTTGTGTTTCAGGCCTTCATTGCAAAGATGTTGCTTCTTTCTGTTCAGAAAAAGTACCATGTAGCAAAACATTGTCAAAAAATTTCATATTCCCGTGGAATATTTGTCTTATATGCAAAATCCAATGATACTTAAAAGCTGAAAGATTAAAATGTCTTTTTATCTTTTACCATCTTTGGAACCTGAGATGGAATGTCCATTATTGATTGGGATATGAGTCTAGATTCCCATTATCTAGCGCTATTGTTCTAGAGCCAATGACAAAAGTACATAACATTCACATTTGGGAGGCACGCAGAGGAAATCTACTACAAAGGAACGCAGAGAAAATCTCCTTCTCTTAGCGTTTTAGAGCATTTTAAAAAACAATTATTGCATCATTCGAACAACATATTTATCCTTTTTTTTCCAAGAAACTCTTTTTCTTCGTTTTCTTCGTATTTGGTAAGAGATTAGCTTATCCCCACAAGAACCACGAATTTTTCCTACCACATAAGGCACTACCTGGCGTAAAAGTAGATCTACATAAATCATCGATGTTAACTGCAGATGAGCATATGATGCAGAGTTTTGAAAGCCAAAGTGCATTGAAATAAATTCTGGAATAACAGTTTACTATATAGTTTTTTTGTGGCACTTTTTTTCATTGTAGTATTCATCCTATGTTGTTTTTATATCAAAGTTAGACGCGTCGAAAACTGTCTTCGTTTGATTCCTTTCAGTTTTTAAAGGGGCTGAAGCAATATGCAGAGGCACGAATAACTGTTAAAAGATAAAAAACATCATGTAGAATATGGCTGTTTTCGCGAGTGATATGTCCTTTTAGATCTAACGTGTTCCTGTTCAGTTTTGTTGATAGAAGGGAGCTTTGTGTTGAAGAAGCTGACTGAAGTGAAATCATCGTGTAATTTACAAATTTCATATTATATCATAGACATATTATATCATATATCATGGTCACCTTAATTTAGAAAAAAGTTAATTTGATTAATTCAGCTATGTGAAAGATAAATTATTGCTTTTCGGACAAACATCATTCTACAATGTTGGCACAAGTTATCTTCTATCAACAGTTAAATACGTAATGTCGTACTCCCTTTTCTATGATCTTCCCGCTTCATAGGTTGGATAAGGCATTTTTTTCATATTTGGTAAGGGGTTCTCTCGTATATAATCTTTTATGACAAAATTTTATACTACAAGTGCATTTTATTCAATACGCTAGAAAATGCCATGCCTTGAATAGCCTTACATAATCTAGCAGGAATTCCCTTTTAGTAAGACGAAATCAAGTTGGGCAATCGTTTCACTCTTGTTGTTCACCTTTTTGCAACGAATTCCTTAAAAAGTTTATTGATGTTTTGAAACACATTGAAAACTCTTCTTATCCAATGTTTACGTAATTTTTGACTGCCTCAAAGATGACAACAAACCTCCATAGAAATGATGGTACTTCAATCGAATATCGTTGATAGGGTCCTCGAGTGTCGGTGGCATGCTTGATTCATAACAGGCTGCAAAAAAGGTTCTCGGGTTTAGCTTGCATACGAAATTATCACAATGGTAGCATGATTTGCTTTGAAGAGAAACACAAATACAGAAGGCTATTTATATAAATGAGAGTTTAAGAAGTTATAGCGGATTTAATAAGCCTTTTTTAGAGCAACTCTGGAAGTGCCTTGAAATAGGTTTCTGGTTTTGAAGCTATTAGGCAAATAGATGCGGTGACCTTTCACTTGGTTCAAGATATACGACAGAAATAAGGATGAAGTAAATGTTGCTGTTGCGTCACTAGAATCGATGAGACTAAGCAACCGAATACTGTGATAATAGGCAAATGGAATTGAGGGTCACTTATCAAAGATGTGCTTTTTGCTATGTTTTTTATCAATGACTGTGTGACATCTCTATCGCTTACATCTAGCAAGTTGTTAAATGCGTCCAATTTTCCCGTTAAATCAATTTTGTGACCTTGCACGTGTGATATGATCTCTCCTTTCAACCTGTTTAGCTTGGCGCGCTCAGTTTGATTGAGACTGTACGCGTAATTCATCTGATAATGCAATGAATATTCACAAGAGTGGCCTACGCTAGGACTTAATTTCGAAGTTACCAAGTGAAAAACATTGAGCGACAGCAAGAAGCAATATTTTGAAGTAACTAATAAGGCCATATGTGATTGCTTCTTGCGTGCTTCTCAAAACCTAGAAGTATTTAATTTTATTTTTGCTTTATGAGTTTAGTGTAGCAGGATTTTTGAACCGTCAATAAGATTATGCTACATTTAAACAGCCTGCTAATGCAGATTTAATAATTTTTCATTATTTTAGGATGAGTTTATGTAGTTTGGTATATAAATGAACAAATTATTCTTCTCCTTTCCTTTTAGTGACCTTCTGTATGAACATCGTAGATGCATGGTGTCTCTTTCACCGGATATGTAATAATAGGCTTCTCAAATTTTAGCATAAATCAAACAACTTCTCATAGGTAAACATTATTTTAAGCAACCAAAAGATTGGTTTTTCAGTGGTTTCCCATTAGTTTCCGTCTTTGGTCAAAATCAGGAAGTAACATTTCCTTTATTAGTAACTTAATAAAAACCGGGTTCACGCTATAATTGCGTGTAATGATGGACGAAAGCCTGAATGCAATTCAAAATTTTTCCTTAAAGTTATTATTTCATTCATCCGCCAAATCATCATCAATTCCAATTACAGCTTTTGTTCATCGGGACATTTCATTGATCTTTGTTGAAGCAAGAAATAGTTTTTATCACAAAACGCTAAATGTCGTTTGCTGCTCAATGCAATAGAAAAACCCGTCATATTCACTGCTCATTTGCCTGCTTTTTAAACTCCAAACCAAAACAACCGTCTATAAGAATACTAATGTCTTGTTCTTTGACGATTAGATTGGCTTCTATTTTTCTATTCAATAATTTCTTCCATTTCCGATATTATTGTTATCTTAGAATTCTGAAAATATCTTCTTTTTATTGCCACTATTTGTTAAAAATTTCATTATTTCAGTCTCTCCATCAATATTGATAATAAAACTAGGTTTTTTTATTTCATATCGGCAGAGATTCAACAACGTGAATTATTTATGTTGAATTACACGTGACTTGTGCATGAAGGGTTTCGGTTTCCTTGCCTATCGTGGGAGTGTTCACGTTTCTGCACCTGCGCTGTCTAGCTAGCAAGCATTCATCAAATACATCTATTCTTTCTCAATAAATAACATTAATAATATATAAACGGAGTCTTCACTCTTCGTATGTGATTCAACTTTTCCTTTTGTTAAAACTTTCTTTACACTGAAAGCAATTTCTTTCTATTTGCACTTCAGAGTAAATTGCATTTCAAAGATTGAACAGAGATTGTCTTGCCAATTCGACATGGTTATCACAGTTTGATATGATTCATTTTTAAATTGTCATAAGCAAATGGTACCAGCTCTCCAAGATCTGGTGACATAAAAATGTTAAAAAAAGTTGCAACATCAATTTACTATTTGATTCAAATTGAGCAGGAAACATTGAACTTTTTGTGAATAAATCTTTAAACTTTTCGAAAAGGTACCTTGAAGAAGCAAAGTTGTTTAAAGCCTTGACACGGCAACTGTCCACTGCCATTCTGAAGATTTCTGTTTTCAAACTATTTTATTGTTTTTTTGAAATTTGATCTATTTCATTAAAACTTTGAAGCATTTTACAATTTACTAAGAGCAACCTTTGCATTTGCCATCTATTTCATTAAAACTTTGAAGCATTTTACAATTTACTAAGAGCAACCTTGTTTGTTTCATTTTGAAGCTATTTTTTCAAGCCTCTATTAACCCCAAACGCTAGTAATGTAAGAAAGCTCTGTAAAAAACTATTTTCTCCATAAAACGCTTCCTACTAAATGTGCCTTCATTTTAAGTTAAGCTACATATGGGGTGTTCAGTTATGATTGAAACGTTAATCTGAATTTACTGGTGGGCTGTATTGTCATTCAAAAGTCTTGCTCTAGGGCTACTAATTGTTAGTTCGGAAGTAACATTATATTAATCTGAAAATTATTATACATATATGCTAAAAACACAATTTCAAATTCATTTTCATGATAAACTATTAAGGTGAAAAGGTTTTATATTTTTTAAAGTTCATTTTTTTCAAAAAGCTATCAGTGTTAATATTTCTGATATTCCTCAAAATCTTATTGAGAGAACCGGAAATGAGCTTAAACTTAGGCATAATAGATATATTTTCCGCCTTAGCTATTTACTCATCATTTTCAATGAATAATGCTTAATCAAAAAACATTTTTGGCATAAAAACCTGTTAGATTACCACTTCCTGATTCTCATTCAAAAGTTAAATATTTGCTTGGAGTACATCATGTCATTGTGAGGCAACGTTTCACAAGATAGATCTTTTCTAGCATGATTTCAACAGAACAATAAATTCAGGTCCTGTTGGCAACACTCTGCCTACAATATGCACTATGGCATCCATCTGCCATTATAATGTTGATCCTTAACAAAGAAGTCACGTTGGCAAAGAATTATCGTGATAACATTTGCAATTTACCCTATTTCTCGCTAGATTAGTATTTCGCTATTATTTCTTGGCTATCATTGTTTTACAATCTATATACATCATTTTTAAAAGCCGTTGCTCACTGTTTTTTTGGGAAGGCTAGGTAGAAATCACACCTAGTGGTCCATTGAACAAACTCTTTTCGGCCCATCCTATTTTTCAGAAACTGTCTAAGGTTTCTTAATCTCATTCCTGCCAATTCATCCATCCCTTGTCTTATTCTTGCAACAGCACAATTTAAAACAAATGATCAAATGGCCAGTCCTTTCTTGATCAAAATAAAAAACTGTTTTGTAAGGCTAATTCGTATAACAAGCTAAACCTTAGGTCACTGATGATTAAATTGTTTCTAGTTGCTACTTTTTAAAAGTAGTTATTGATAATATCGTTTGCCACTGAATTTGGAGCACAAGGTTTGTATAAATATTTGGGAGTCTTTAAGTTGTCTTTCTAAATACTGACAACTGATCATGTTTTAAAAATGTCACTTAAATTAACCTATTTAGGTAATTTCTTCAGTTTGTTCTTCACATGGCTGGAGCTCAAGGCTACAATCAAGGGATTAACCTTTATTTTGTACACAGCTAACGACAAGTGATGAGAAAAACTACCGACAGAGAAAAGAAATTGTGCTCATCTAGAAGGACCTAGAAGGAAGTATATTCGTACCTTGATTTCGAGAGTTAGTCTTTTTCTATCCGCAACACATTGGCTGATCAGACGGGCTAACTTATAGATTGAGGTCTGCCCCCCCCCCCTTTTGCCTTTGTGCAGCCCTCTAGCCTGCTATAAACATAAAGCTCTTTTTCTTACCATCTGCTTAATGCCTATGCCATATTGGTCTCCTCGTCGGAGAAATTTTTTACCTCGGCAATAGTAAACGCTATAACATGTTTGCTTCATGCTGTTTAGAAATTTTGCTTATTTGTTGCTGTATTTCAAATGTGAGAACTGGGTGCCTAACAGGAATGAGCAAGTCATTGCTTACATGATGAATATTTTTCAAAACACATCAGCAATCTTTTTTGTAATTGCAGTTATGCTTTACATATTGTTACAAAAAAGCTTGAGAAGTAGTTTATACCTTCTTGCAAACTTGAATATACTCCAAAATACTCTGCTTGTCCTGATGATTGTCCGGAGCAAGCTCTTTGCTGATCTAAACCGCAAAAGATAAAGTAGTCTGAGATTTTTATCCAATTATAGAAGTAATAATGTTGAGTCATGTTAGCTGCATTGTGCAAAAACCATTCCAGATATTTCAGAGTAAAATTCAATAATATCTAGTGCTCCTCTTCTAGAAGAGAGACTTAAATTTAAAACTTGATGTCTAATAAAAGATAAACGACAATTGGCAAAAAAAGGAAACAGTCACTGACCGGTTCTTCTTTTAAAATTTTCCCTGTAGCTGATGCTTGCTTCTTCAATTTTGAAAGCTGGTGTATGCGATACATGAGGTGCAGTTTTTGAATCAGGACTTCTACCTTGGTTCATGTATGAATGGAATGAAGATTCGGGCCTACTTATGGCATACGTTGAATGCGTCCCGTTTGACAGAGAGGACCCTGCTGACAATGTCTGATAAGCAAGTGACATTGAGTCAGATACAGTTGAATATGCTTGTATCTCAGCTCCAATTTGACGCCGTTTTATGGACGAAAGTTTTGTTGGTGCTTGTGCGGGAGTGAGGGTTGTATACTGAGTAGAGGCTATTTTCATGTATGGATTATCTTCCATTTTGCATTGCTCTGTCTTTACTACGCAGCAGCTTGATATGTTTGCATTTTGTTCAACCTCTATTTTAACAATTGACCGTTTCCCAATTATTCCTTTAAAAGATTTGGGTAAATTTAAAAAAATCAAGTTATCGTAGAATGTTTGAAAATAGCTTGAGATATAGAAACGGGTGTACAATTGATTGGTAGAGAATGAATAAAATGTATGATCAAAGTGATTCAGAGAGATCTTATTCCGAGTGAAGCTAAAATATATCGTCTTTTAGATATGTAATCGTTGCAAAAATTGAATCTCAAGTTTTAACATTCCTAGAAAGTTTCAATCCTTAATTGCTGAAAGGAAGGTTAACTACAGTTCGGTCGGCCTCCAATTTTGGTGTAACCAACTTTTTTCTAAAATGCAATTACTATCCAATTATGTCTATTTAAATGTCTGCTTTCCTAACAAACTAACATGGGAAGAGATAGAAAGCTCTATTGACATGGTTCTAGCCACATGCAAACACGGTCAAAAGCTCTTAAACAATTCATAATTTTCCGTACTATCCCCCTGACGGTTTACTTTAATAATCTTATAGAAATGCTGGTACCTTAGCAGTTTTTAGAAACAAATTAATTAATTCCGAAGCCCTTATGTACCACCTTATACGTTCTTACAACTAATGATGTTTCAGTCTGCTAGAACTGTTTTAAATTGGAACCTTTAACTTCTTGAGATGCAGCTGCTAGCTTTCTTGAATTTTGGACTTCAGGAACAAACTGCTCGTCTTTTTTTGCTATTAGTAAAGAAATGTGGAATATTGAATTATAATATACTTATGGAAAGTATGGTTATTAATTGCTTATTCACTTACCACCATTTGTGTTTAAATGCATTTCGTTTGCATTGCTAAAAATTAGATAAGTTATTTTGGAAATATATTTAAGAAATAACTTCGGTTTGATTTAAAATTCAACAAATTCAGAGAAAAGCATAATGACTTAGATTTCATAGCCTGGCTTAGTTCGGTTGTGCTGCATTTGGTGAACTAAGAACAGTCTTTTCACATGGCAAATGAGACTTTGTAAATTGCAAAAGAAAATTTCTAAAAATTGCTGAAATAGCGCAGCTATAACATGGCTCTTCATTGTTGAAAGAACCAAAGAATATCTGAAAGTGTCTTGAAGGACATAGCTATTAAATCATTAGTTCGAGCAAAAGCACTTGACCATACTGTCTGTCCATACTGTATTGAAGAAACCGTTGCCTCTTTCGCCAGGCACAAATTCTCGGCAATCCTCTTTCACGACTACTTGCCTTTTCCAGGGCTTCTTCTGAATATAGCAATTAATGTAATCTAGTATATTCGTGCTTCTTCAGAAAAATCGTTTTCGATTAGCGAAAGATCTTTCATGCCTGTATTTTTCCTATTAGCTTCGTTAGATACGCTCAACTTTACCTTCATAATCATCACTCTAGCCATTCTTGATGATGAAAGACAAACATAAACGACGAAATACATTGTTCACTCACTACTATGCTATATTGCAATGGTTCTTTCCCGGTCCTACTTATTGTTAACTTTTTTCACCGGAAATCAATTTACCCAAATTGTTGTAACGAAAGTTTTCAGCACACACTGTAGCCAGAAAATGTAGCAGCAAAGCAAGCGAAAATACATATCAGCAATCAGCGAAGGATTTAAGTGACGTTTCGAGATATTTTGAAATGGACTAAAAGCAAGCCTTGCCTTCTTGAATCCATTGATCTTGCATTTGAGCCAAATCTTGAAATAGTTCTAGAAAGAAATCAAACTTTGCATCCATTCAAGAAAAGAGCTTACAAAGAATATAAGAAATGTTCTTAAATTGATTAATTCCAAAAATCAGTTGGTAACTTGATAGTGAATTCATCGTTTTTCTTTGAAGAAAATCGAAGCATGTCATCTGCGCCTTTTTCGAATTTGTCAGAAAACAAAGAAGCTGTTTGGTTAGCCCGTGGCCTAGCCTAACAGCTGTATAGTTGATTCGATCACAAGCGGTTTTTTTGCAAACTTGTGATTGGTTTTGAAAAAACAGTGTAAATTGTTCAAGTAAATTAATCCCTAAGTAAAGACGAAAACAACTGGTTTTTTGTGATATGTTCACATTTGGTATCGACGATTTAACAAGAATGCCAGGCAACATCTAATTTTAAATGTAAAAGTGAAATGACATCACTTGCTCAAAAAAATTAATGCATAGAAGGCAAATTAGCAGTAACATAGGAAATATGATGGATTTTCCAAATTTCATTTGAAACAAATCTTTCTTCTTTGTCTCCTAATGTAGAAATAAAAAGGCATCTCGCACTGCCACCAAATATGATTCACAAACCTTGAGAATCAATGACCAATGTTGGATCTGATGTGACTTGCTTAGAGACAGTTGCAGAATATTTAACAGTTTCATCTTTTTCCTGCTCTTTACAGTCAAAGTTGGCCGGAGTCTAAAATCATTTTAAAAAAACTACTATCAGACTTGCTAAGGAAAAGAGCCCGCCCATCTAATGCGTCACGCATCCGCGAAGAACAGTGCACTTGAGGCACAAGTGTGTTTGACGTGGAGAGGATTAAGACAACAAGATATACGTTTGACTGGCAAAACAGTCGATTACGTTAAACCAATCAATGAATTAAAAACTTAATGGTTACCATTTAATTACCAGAGTTTGTTAATGTCAAAACACCTCAAACCATCTACAAATAATGCATTTCTTAAGACTGAATATAAATGACGTTAATGACGTTGTGTGAAAGCTAAAACTAAAGCAATTATCACAATTATAATAACGGGAGTATGAAAAAGAAGCTAGAGAATACAGCACTTGAACAGTTCATCATCACCTGAGCATACCCATATGGGACTTCTTGATCTAATCCATCAGAGTCCATTCTTTCTTGGGTCACAGCTTTTAATTGTTGCTCAAAAAATATATGTCCAAAAATTTCACAAATCCTCTCCGAAGATATGTATGTATAGATGCACAAATTACTTCAAATTTTAAATCTTAAATGAGCGACCTGTTTTTCCGCAGCCACTTGCTCTTGCTCACTTGAACAGGTGCTTCCGATTGGCTAATTTATGTCACTAAACAATGGTTTATTCCTCTATTGATTTTATCGTTTATATACGTCTTTAGCTTAACAATCACTTTGCTGAGGCAAGTAGTTTGCTGAGGCAAGCTGTTTGCTGAGTTCTACGTCAATTGTTGCGCAAAATCACATATTTAAAGAATTCATCTCAACCTGTCTTGATACATCTGGCATGATATGAAAAACAGCGCGAAATTGCTTTTGTTCAGTCCGCAGTGTGCAATAATGTTTTGACATATAATAGTGAGATGTAGTAAAAAAGTCAAAATATGTCTTAAAGATGCATCAATGAAAACGCAAATATTCAAATTTTTATGGAAAATGCTCATATGTAGGTTTTATTGTGGAGACTATGTAAAAGATGAACATTGTAATGACTAAAAGTATTGGATCAGCCTATCTAAGCCGTGTGTCTATAGTAATTTGACGTAAAATTGCGGTACATTTTTAAGTCCCTTTTCAATAAAAAATGTTTCAGAGTGTTAAAAAATACGAGTAAACTAGTTTTCTTTGGTTTTCGCTGCATTCGGTTGAAATCATGGATTTTGATCAATCATGGATGATAAATTTGTTACGATTGAAGTTTTGAAGACGTTGCTACAAAGTCAAGCCGAAGCCTTCAAGTCAAATTTTGTGCTTCTTATTCAGGATGTCAAGGATGAGATGAAATCCATTAGGAAAGACATTTATCACCTTTAAGCGAGATTTCAGATTTCCAAGGCGAAATTGGATGAAGCTGAAAAGTCAACGGAGAAAATTAATCAGATTGTTTGTGCAAATGGTGACAACTTGAACACAATGAATGACTTTGCTGATTCCATTGAAGATCAACTCGAGTTCCTAGAAAACCAGAGTAGGAGATGCAATGTGCGAATCATTGGTTGACCAGAAGACAAGCAACAGGAAAAAACCTCGGATGATACAGGGCAGATTGTAATGCAAGTAATCAAAGATAAACTGGGCCGAACCGTAAAGTTTGAGATTTATCGCTGCCACAGAGTTGGTCCAAGTGGAAACAAGCAGAAAGATCTACAACGCCCAATAGTGGCGAAACTTTTAAAATGGAAAGACAAAGAAGACATTTTGAAAAAAAAACGGTAATAAAACCAATTTCATCAGTCTCAGCGACATTAATCATCAGAAACAGCAAATGTTGAAATTGGAAATGAACTGATACAGCAATCTAGATAAGTAAAATTTCTTTCTAAATGTTCTTCTTGCACTGCCACTTAGGTGTTCTTCTAGATGAAAAACTTAGTTGAAAATATCATTTATCTGAACCTTCAAAAAAATTTGCTAGAACATGTGGCATGTTTTTCAAGGTAAGATATTTTCTTCCATTTGATGTTTTAATCTGTCTATACAATTAATTTTTCTCTTCTTTTTTTCAGTATGGTATAATAGCCTGGGGCTTTACACATGATGTTCATATAAAACCTATTTATCTGCTGCATAAGAGAGTGGTAAAAGCCATTGCCTTTGAGCATTTCACTGCACCCTCCACTCCTATCTTTTCAAACTTTAAGATTTTTAAGCTGTAAGATCTCTTCCAGTTAAAATTGCTTTGCTTTATTTATGTTTTATTTAAAAACTAGAAGAATATAAATGAAATTTTATATCACAATTGATTTCTCATTTAAGTCTTTCATAATATAAACATAATTTTAACTTCTTCAAAGCCGTTTAAATTGTTTCTTCTATTAAGCTCTACTTTCTTCTTTCATTTTTATACCAAGTTTCATTGTTCTCTTCAGTGGGAAATATGTTAGAAAATCACTCTTGCTTCACAGAATCCGATAAAATGTTTGGCTAATCATTATGCAAATAAAATAATATATCTAGTTCGCATGCAGTTTCAATTTCATGGTATATTGTCGTTTTGATTATTTAGCACTGGCTAGTATTGCATCAGTTATGTTCAAGGCAACATAGAAGTCAAAGAGGCCCTGGGGCAAAACGGAAAAGAAGTGGATCTCCGGTTTGCAAAGTTGGCAGAACAGATTGCCAAATAAATTTTAGAATGATATCTTGTAGTCATTTCCTTCCATATAGATAATCTCTTAAGAATCTAAAGAAAGGCCTATTGTTGATGGCAGCCTGTTTCGTACACATTTGAGCTTTAAAAAGATGCACTAGGATTTGGTGATACCAATTGGCAAGCTTGCCATTTACCGTACAAATGTACAGATTTGCTGTCTTTAGTTAACATTTTCGGTTTATATCTTCCTTCTAATGCTGATAAGTTCCTTTGAGCTTCTTGCATTTCTAAGAGCTACAAATATTATTTTGCCGAACAGATATGAAATTTTGGACAAATTGCCGAATGGTTGATGAAAGGGGGGCACATACCCCCCTGCCCTCAAGGCACGACGTTTCTTGTTGAAATCTGGTATCACGAACTGTCTCGTAGCTAATCTGTAATCTAAAATTTTCGGATTTCAATAGGTCATCTCCTATTACAAATACTTGCAATCTGGAAAAATTGTGATTTTTTGAAATAGTTGACGTCAAATGTATGCTGCGAAAATTTGCTGTGTTATTTGAAAATGTTCGTCCGATAGAGAGCGGTCTCCTTGCTAACACGAACCTAATATTTGAATAACGTTACTGGAAAAGTTGATTGCCAAAAAGCACTTTCCTACAATCGTGCCGAAATCTGAAACGGTCTTGAACAAAAGAACAAATCATCAAAAGCCCCAAAGGACTTAATATAGACAGTTGTGTATCTATTATTCCATTTTTACTTTATATTCATAATCTTGGTATTGTAATATGTCTCAAACCAGACTGACTGATCATTTTTCTGGCTATATCATAATAATTTTTGGTTACGAGGGTTATTTTGAATATATAATTAATGGAACTTGACCTATATTGATACTGCAAAATGGAAAGAAACTATGAAATGATAAACAAAATAAATTGTTAACTCGGAATTTTTTACTTAAGAGGCTGAATTTTTGAGGGTCATAGGTGATTTTTGTCCTTCATACTTTATCTTTTTTAATCTATTAGATTTTTGTTCAAGTAAAGTAATTGGTCAATGAAAAAAGTACTCAGCCCTAAATCTGCACAATCAGTTCAGCGTGCAAATGGAAAAACTTAAAACGATTTTTCTGGACAAGGGCTATTCAGAAGACGTCATTTTATCTTATACTAAGGAGAAGATCAAGTTTTTCGGCTGTTCAAAAGTTTGGTCCGCAAAAGTGCCCAGTTTATTTGAAACTACCATGGATTGGTAACACTTCCTTGCGATTCGAGAGTCAGATTAGGCAAGCCATAACTAAATGTTTCTTTGCTGTCAATCCTCGCATTGTTTACAACACTAGGAGAGCCCTTCCATCCATTCAAAAGGATTGCGCTCCTACCAACCAAAAAAGTTTCGTCATTTATGAATTTACGTGCCAGTGTGATTCTGGCTACGTAGGACGCACAGCCCAAAGATTAGGGGATAGGATCAAACAGCATGTTCCTTTCAACATAAGAAACAAAACTGCCCCTCAAAGAGAACAGCCTCCTCGATCTTGAAGGTCTAGAAACACTGTTTAAACAAATGATTCTGCCATCGGTCAACATCTTTTAGATAACCCAGGTTGTGCAAAACTCTATAATGACGACATGTTTCGGATAATTGGCAGAGCCCGGTCGGCTCTCCAAGTGGTAATTTTTCTTTAGGCTCGCGGCACTGATTGGTCAACTATACCGGTCTTGTGCTTGCGTTTTTCTGATTGGCCTATTTCGATCCACAACTATGTATATATATATTTTTATCGTGTTCTTTCGGACCCTTATTCTGACGTTTTTTGCTCTGAGGAGTGTCAGACGAAAAAGCTTTTAGTATGTTGTATAATCTTTGCTTTTTTCAAAGACATTTTCAAATTCTGTACCGCAAAAAAATTGTTCATATATCCTTTTGTAGATCGACATTGGCCTATCATGTTTTAAAAACGAAAAAACTTTTAGCATGTTGCAAAATTTTCATTTTTTTCAAAACCATCTTCAAATTTTGAACCGTCAAAATTTTTTCACTTCTAACTGTCTTTTTGGCAATCTTCTTTCTAAATTTTCATTGAATAATCATGTTTTAAAAATTAGGTCCGCTAATATAAGCATAACATAAATCATGAATCGATGTAGGTTGGTTTATTTTCTCTTTAAATCAAATAAGACTTTGAAAAACTTTTAAATCTCTCAAGCCTGTTATCATTCTACAAATATTTGGATCTCTGAATTTGTAACAGATGTGGCAATGATGAGAGATAACGGAAGTTTTGCTTATTCTTGTTGGATGCCCGTCAGATTGCTCATTTTCCGGACCCAAAAAAATGGATTCAACTCTCAACAAAACTTGAGTGATACTTTTCAGTAATGGTGTGCTTTTAGCGGCAGGCCTTTGCAAAGGACCGCAATAATATATTTAAGAAAGCTTCTAACTTTATGTGCATTGACATCACTTGAAGAAAGCGTTTTTGTTTGCATCATTGAAAGGATTATGAGCCGAGTAAATGTTTTTACACATAATACTAACCATACTCCTATGATTAAAAGCTCTAAGCTGAGAAATGCTTTCGACGTAGGCGCGAATTTTCATCAAATGGATTTGATATTATGAATTAAGGTGATCAGAGATTGACGATTATTTGAAGAAGGACGAGAATACTAGCAGCTGTTTTTTTGCAATAAAATTGAGCTTCTTAACAGGAGAAGCGTTATAGAAATATTAAAGTTGAACAAAAATAATAATCTCCAGCTTGATGATCGGGTGCGATCATTCTGGCGCTGTTCGGCGGCCAGTTTCTTGCCATTTGTGAACACTAGGTAAATACTTTGATGGTAAAAGCTTGAGTCTACACAGAAAGTGATTTAAATTAAGGCCGGCCACGCTTGCTTATGTATTTCGCACAAAAAGACAATTGAAGATCAAACACTGCAAAATGCGTCTCTTCTGTGTAAGCCTGTCTGATGAATGCACCTGTTTCTCAGCTAAAAAGAACTAAAAGCTGATGTAGAGCTGTGACAATTAATAATAAGAAACTGCTCATTTTGCGAATGCATTCTTAGTCAAATGCATTCTCTTTGAATAGCTATAACAATCGTGAATTAACCATTGTTATAAGTGGATGTGTCACGGGTCGACTTTACGATGCTGCAATTAAAATTTTCTTTTGATCATCGGACTATACACCCATGCATCCACTCTGCTAGGAACCTTCGACCAATGATTGATTAATACGTAAGATATTGACACTGGTTTACGAGTGTTGAAGTAGCTAAAGATATACGTTTCACGGTTGAGACTGAAGTGGACTTTATTTGTTTCAATTTTACTCATTTTGTGTTAAGGTGATCTATATCAGCAGGTCTAGGCATAGAGAGTTTATGTTACAGTTTTCAGTGAAGATTGCTCAAAAAACTATATTTGAATGAAGTGTTAACAGCATGGCTGTAACTATCATGGGAAGCCTAGCCAGGTTTTTTGCTGGCGCAGTATAAATTCTATGAATGTTTGGAACTTCCTAAGGAGAATGGTTTGGAACTTCCTAAGGAGAATGGTTTGGAACTTTCTAAGGAGAATAGTTTGTCTAACAAGTAGAATGATTTTTAAATCGAAGTCTAAATGAAGGCTTCTTTGCGCCAAGATAGAAGGAATTTGTTCTTTAAGCTCGCCTTAAAAAGCCTTTTCTAGGTCCTGCTAAACTTTTTATTGCAGAAGAGATAGCTATAATTCTTACCTCTGTTACCAAAAGAAAAAGATTTCCAATTATATAAAAGTCATAAATTTGATACTTACACCCATCGTACATTATTGTAATCAACTGCCTTGTCTTTTCTGCTTGGTAAAGTAAATTTTTCTGAAGAAAATATTTTCACCTCAGTGGTTGCTGTCATTATCAACAACCAGCCGGTCAGTTTTTACGCATACCACCAAGTTTTGGTCAAATAATGTCAGTTTCATTGCCGTTTTTTGTCCAATTGATGTCTACGTTCTAAACTAGGTACTTAATTAGGTAAAGTCTTGAAAGTACTATAGAAAATTCAATTAAGCACACAGGCTGACAAAAATAAAAGCACATCTTGAAAGAAACTTTACCGAACTACTTTTAAAAAATGTTTCAATGCTAGATTTCCTTCTTTGGCTCCAAGCTCTTTGTACATATCATTAAAAATTGTAAAAAGCTATGTAAGTTCTAGTACACACAAAATTTGCAGAACTCTTTGTTTTTTGCTTTGATTTTTGCATCTCTTATAAAGATGAAAACAGGAGCTCAAGTTTGGCCGAAAAGAGTGACACCGCTGATTTACATAATTCTATAATCTTTAAAGTTTTCGAAATATGATTTTCGAGATGTTTTACAAAAACACAAACGAAGAACATGGTATATAAGAAAATCGATATCACATGATGTTTAGAGAGAAGAATGCAAGAAAGAGGTTGCATTTTAAGGTGCTTGGAGGTTTTTTGTAAACTTTTTTTTTTAAAAAATCTGTTTTATAAGACGTCACCTCATTTTTTTCATAAACCTTTCTCCTTCAATTGATTGCGAAAGAAAAAAACTACATTTTGCGTGATGATACATCATAATATGCGTTGCCTCATAATTTGCAAAATATTTGCTGCTTGAACGCGTTGGGTGCAATTATAAAACTTTTTTCTATATGCTAATGCTGGCAGTAAATTTACTTTGGTTTGTGAGCCTTTGCCGAAGTGATTCGAAACCAATTTGTTTTCTACACGTTAACAATGATAGATTACAGAAACCATCTGCCTTAAGCAAAGACAATTTAAGCTTGGTAACACGGAAAGAAATTGTAAATTTTGGTGTAGCATTTTTTAGATTAACAGCTCAAACATGAAAGAGCTAGCAAAATTATTTTCTAAAAAATCACTTCCTGCAGTTTATATATCTCATTAAAAGTCTATATTTTTACTGCACATAAAATACAGATATTTGCTGCATATTAGCTTTTGACAGATGGTCTAAAATTTGGAAAAAACCTCAAACTTTGAATGTGCAATAAAAAAGGGCATTAGAAACACCATTCTTTAGCTCCAAAATATCATAGCAAGATTTTCTTGCATCAATTCTTTTAAATCCGAATTTTGTGTTATTTGAATGTTAAGACGAAATGACCAAAATGTTTGTAGAAATTTGCGAACATCTTTATCTTTTTTAACCGTATTTGGGGATATAATATCGAATGATTGTGAAGTCGAATTGAAACAGAACGATGGCATATTTGCTATGCTTCTTAGAGAAAAATTTTGTAAAATTTACACAAAATTTTCAATTAGTGGTTATCATTGGTTTCCAGTTAGAATAAGCAAGCTATCTGTCATCTTTCATTCGGAAACTCTCTGCTACAAAGTTCATTTGATGAATATTTTTGTTAAGCAATTAAATAAGCAAAATTTGTCTAATGCTCTTTATCATCTGAAATGCATTGTTCTTTTCTCTGTCCCCTGTTGTCTCTAATCATTTTCTCAAGGTTTCAATTTTTTTTGAATGTAAGGATAATTTCTTGACACTTTGTATCATAATCAAAATTCACAACAAAATTCACAAATGTTCAAAAATTTTTGAAATATGAAAATCAGTTTGAATATTTCTTTCAAATGCTCTATGCACAGTCTGACTATAAACAAAGCACTCTTATGTTTGCCATAGCTTTGAAGACCTACAACCTGGTAACAGGTTTTATTATAAAAGTGCTAAGTCAATTTCCTTGTTTGAACTTACCTTATTTCGCGTAGCTGGTTGCATATTAGACTTTGTTTCGGAAATATTACAATCACTTTGACAATTCATGTTAGCCAGAGTTCCTGTTGAACTGCCCGAGCTTTGTTCTAATGGCGGAGATCACGCGCTAATTTGTTATGCTAGCCAGCTTCGATTGGTTGTCTGAAGGTTTGCTCGGGAAATGGCAAACTCGCTATCCACACGAATAATAAATGCTAAGAGCTCTCCTGACCTGAAGCAGCTGATAGCGACAACAATAACTTGCCAGTGAATGGCCAGTACTGAATCATTCTGCAAGTTCACCCGAATGATTTACAACACCTGTCCTCCGTTATCGTTAAGTGCACTAACCAACAATCATTAAGCTCAATGCGAGCAGTTTTCAAGACCCAATAAAATATAATACGAAAGTCAGTTTGATTGTGTAAAAACCTCGATTGCTAATGCAAGTTTAGACCAAAATGTGACAGAAATCTACATAGTCGTTTTCTATGCTCAAACATATCTGATCACATGATTTATCTGAACTCAGTAAGACCAAGTTTCAGCAATTTTTATGAAACCTTTTTTGATAGCATAATTTTACAGCTCAGATAATTTTCCTAAAGTATTGAAGTATAAATTCACGATGGAGAAAACAAAGCAAACACTCCCAGTGAGAAAGTTAAGAAATATTACTATAGTTAAAAGTTGGAAAGGTTTTTTTTTCATGCACCCGTAGAAATGCTATCCAAATCAGGAACGATTGCCAAAAATCAGGAACCAACATTGATTTAAAGCATTTTAAATCATCTTTAATCGAGAAAGATATATTTTGCTTGAATATTTGCCGAGAAGCCCGTTTGCGTCTGCAAAGTCTAAGACAATGAAAATAGCAGAATTTTCTTGTCCTCATCAAGTTTTACCACAATTCTTCAAAAATATAAAAATAATGTTTAAAAATGTTAATTTTCAAAATTATTTGAAAAATTTCTTTTGGTTTAAAAAAATAAGATAACAGAAAATTTAATAGCTTTTAGGTCTTAAAAAGGCTATTTTATAATAATCTTCTGCTCCTTCAAATATTTTACCAATTATCTCAAGTTTTCTGTATTTCTGAAATTATTAACCGATCAAGGTTACGGCATGACAGAAACATGTTTTCAAGTTAGGTTTAAAATTTTGCTCACAAAATTCAGAAATCACCCTTGCTATTTATCTTACTCGATACTTTTTTTGCTGATAGGTCCGGTGCTATTGCTATTTTAATGGGAAATGCCAACCTCATTCGAACATATGTAAATACTGTCATCAATAACTATACAATTTGCTTCACATATTTTTCTGCTGTCTGGTGAAACATTAGTATTGCCTGACTGTTTGGGGTCACAACATAGGGGTCACAAAGCAGTGATTCAAATATTTCTGATGAGACAATTGACTAAATTGACTGAATTGACTGAAAAGTCTATAAGAAATTTTCACTTCTCATCATATTCTATATCACTTTGCAACAAATATTATACTCTAAAGAAGAAAATTGAAGTACAAAGCTCTTTTATGTTGCTAACTATAATTTCTGCTATTTTCATGATAACTTTCTACTGAGGGACTGATTTCACCTTTATCTTAAGATTTTGAGACATCTCAATTAAGTCTGATGACTCAAGAAATTTCTATAAATGCTGTTTTCAAATTGAAGAAAAAAATTATCAATTTTCATAAAAAATTATTGCATAATGAAGATATATTTCAATTCTTCAATATAAAGAAAGTTTGCATCTAGCAGTTTTGAAATTGATCTATACACAAACCAAAAAGTGATTATTGTGTAGACTGATGGAGCTAGTTTTTTCACTTGAAATCTAGTGTTCAGTGCTCATTGCAGTCAAAATTTATATTACAATAAATTGTTTAGAAATTTCACTAGAAACTTTAGACAACAAAACACTTACAATCAATAACCATAAACTCACCATCAATCATTATCTTTCACTAAAAGAATATCTTTTTTGGCGGTACAAAAGTTGAAAAAGGCATTAAAAAAGCAAACATTTTAAAACACCCTTTAAGCTTTTTGTCTGACACTCCTCAAAGTACAAGATGGAAAATAAATATCTAGTATTAGATCAAAATTGGTCAACCTGAAAAGCACGAAATTGGCCAGATCTACTTTTCATCTAGCAGATTTGGAATCGATCTATACATTAACCAAAAAGTCGCTATTGTGTAGAATGATGGAGCTAGTTTTTTCTCTTGAAATCCAGTGGTAATTTTCCTATAGCAACGCATTACAGATTGAACAACTATAGCGGTCATGTGCACGCGTTTTTTAGATGACTTTACAGAAGCGCACATTATTTTAAATTGAAAGATATGATAATTTTAAATCCAAAAATGCTATCAATGAGTTCGGCGAGACCTTGCTAATATGCTTTCAGTACTCTTATTTTTATGTCTTTCATCGATAGCAAAATCAAAGAGGAAGAAATCTGTGCTACTTGTAAGAGGAATATCCTGAAAATTTAATTAAAAAGCATACAAGTTATTATATATTTGAAAATAATTACTGTTTCTAAATGGATTATGAAAATTGAGCTTTTCTCAAACCATGATTAACATAGCTTATCAATTGAACCCGGAAGGTTTCCTCTTCTGGCGAAGACGAAAAACAGAAAAATTGCCAAAGCGTAATTGGCAAATTAAGAAAAAAGAAAAATAGCACACAGCGCAAAAGCTTGTCAATGCATAAATTGTTAATATTTGCACCAATGGTTGACTTGGTGATGGTGCAGTGCAGCAAGAATTAGCAGCAGTGATAACTGAAGGAGAGTTTCCATCAAACTATGTCCGTATTTTGCTCGCGCATTTGACACCTTTAAGAGTTACAACGAGTTCTCTATAGAGATTTTACATAAAAGGATTATTTTGCTGTAAAGTTATGGTTTAACTTTTTTATATGATATGACTATATATACAGTTCTACTCTATCAAATTGCCAGGCTGACAGGGGTGACCAACTGATTGACAGGGGTGACCAACTGATTGAAAGGGGTAACCAACTGATTGACAGGGGTGACCAACTGATTGACAGGGGTGACCAACTGATTGACAGGGGTGACCAACTGATTGACAGGGGTGACCAACTGATTGACAGGGGTGACCAACTGATTGACAGGGGTGACCAACTGATTGACAGGGGTGACCAACTGATTGACAGGGGTGACCAACTGATTGACAGGGGTGACCAACTGATTGACAGGGGTGACCAACTGATTGACAGGGGTGACCAACTGATTGACAGGAGTAAGCAACACATTAACAGGGGTGATAGTCCTGGGGCAAGCAGGACATGTACAGTGCCTAGAGCACCTAGAGCCAGGCAGTTGCCAATTTCCCATCAAGATCTGGGAAAGAATAAGTGATAATTGGTCGCCATTGTGACCCGTTTGCAATCCTCTTGTTATTTTGAAACATTGATTCTGAGAATTTCTAGACATTGTTTCAATAATTGTAGGAACGTTACTATTCAGAGAAGTTTTTCTAGTAAAAATGGTTTTTTCAATCAAAAGTTGAGATAGGTGGAAGTCGAAGTCGTGTTTTAGGGTAATAAGCAGAATTCTCACGTAAGGGAACTAAAACAAAAATTTATATAGGTTCTAAATTTGGTCTTTACCTATGTAAGCTAAACATATTTATACAATTCTAAAATAATAGCGTTGATTATATTAACTGGCTAATTAAAACCTATGATATTTGATACTTTTGATACATGTTAATATATAAGTATAAACATTTCTTAATAACTTCTGTACCGTTTGTCGCTGCAGTATCAAATTTTGAAAAATATCACCTTTCGATTTAGGAAAGATTTTACTATAACGGAAATTATAAAGAAGGATGACAAAAGATTAGCTAGAACGAAAGAACAATAAAGAGGCAAGGTAGACATTAAAAAGGAAGGCCCTTAAGGACCTTTTTGACAAACGTTTATATTTAAAATAATGAGCAACAGGGTGCTGCACATGGGAAATCAATTATAAAAAATCAAATTCTATTTACAAACTAACTTGTGTTGTAGAGGAATATAATTTCCTGTACTTAGAGAGGTCTGAAATGACAATGACATCTATTACAACAAATTCAATAATGTGATATAATTTCAATTATTATTCATAGCCGTAAATTGATTACCTAATTTTCTTAAATAATGCAGATGTTTGGCGAAAAAAACATCTGCACAAAGTCAAACTATGTTTTAGTGAAATCTGCTTTGTTTGAAAACATCATTGTTAAAAAAATTGACAAATTTAATTCATGATTGTAGGTTAAAGAATATTGAGCAATGTGTAAATCGGTTTATCTCAAATGTAGCAAATAGCTTTAAAAACTGGCTAACTTTTTTATCAAGACTGCAGACGAGACAAAAAACTGTACATTAATATCGGGGTTGTGAGAGGCGCGGTGCCGTAGGCAGAACAAAGCCTCCAACTGATTGTCCTTATCAGACCAATGAAGTTTAAATACATTGTCGTGCTTTAAAGGCAGTAGCGTGCTTTTTTATATTGGAGAAATTAATGGGAGCAGGACCTCCCTGGTTCACCCACTTTTTTGTCTAGCCAATGTTGATCTTTTCTCTTTTATGTTGTGTTTGATTTTTTAAATAGCTGTATTTGTAAGAAAGTGCTTCCCACTAGAAAAATGAATGAGTGATGTAAAGGATCCACAATACACATAACATAGGTATTTAGGTCTGACGCAAAAGACCGCAACCAAGGAAGATTGTTTGGTGAAAGAGTTTGGCGCTAGAGTATCTAACAGATGATAAAACCCATTCCAAGTTGCTTTTGCAGGCAAAACAATCAAATTTAGTGCACATCTTGTATCATATCAAATATGTTAAAGTACACCCAAAAGAGTTTAAGCTATAATATTAAGCCGAAAGCGCATTTGATATGGCGTATATTGAATGATGGTGA